AATTTGCTGTTATAGGCCTAATCAATAAATTCCTCATCAACCGATATAACCTTAAACATTCTTGGAATTGATATAACATTACTGATGTCGTACACACCCTTCAGTGTGAAATGTGGCTCTCTTTGCACGCACATCTAACATCTAAGGAAAGTAGAGCTTAGATTGGTACCAGATAAAATAATTTTGTTATCAACATTAATACATTATGCTAATTTTCATCTTTGTAAGCGCATAAGACAGTGCAAATTATTTCTGTGACAGTCTTCTGAAGTGTGTAAAGCTCCATTTTATCCCATACATAGTCAAAAGGGGGGGGGGGATGATTCAATGGACCATCCCCCCTTGTCAAATATTGGGGGGATATATCCCCTCCATCCCCCCCCCCCCGGGATCTACGCCTATGGGTAGTTGCTAAATACAACGGGTTCAGCCGAGGGGCGTGTCTTCATATGTTGACGTCATGCAAAGATTTAGCTATATTTTGTATTAATTTCCTCGACAAAGTGTGGGCCCTGTCTGTAATCACACAGCATAGATACAGTCCGTACAACTAATTCCTTCATGGTACAACAACCAATGTAAGAAAAATAAGTTGTCCCTGTGGTTTTTTTTTTTTCAAAAAATTAGGATCCCTGGAATATTATCAATTCATGGGGCCTACACACAGTGAAATAATACATAGGCTTAGCAATTTCTCTATGGGCCTAGTTAGTCTTATTTTAGCGGTAGGGGGTAGGCCTTATCACAGAAAGAAATGAAAACAATTCAATGGCCTGGCCCTACTATAGTACAATACTCTACTTAGCAGGGAGCAGGGGTGGCGGGCGGGGAATTGGCCCCCGTCGGGGAGGTCTGGCTTCTCTCCCACCACCTGTGTGGGAGAAAAACCACATTCGTCGGGGAGAAAAAAATGTACTGTATTTTCTACATAGGCCTGTTAGTAGACACCAAAATCGACTAAGTAAGCCATATTTCAAATTTTTTAAATTGTTACTTTTTCCGGTGGGGGGGGGGGGAGGAGGAGCCCCGTGGAACACTTTCGACGGATATTGAGGGACGCCCGACCACGCCCACTTTTTTTCGTCGGGGACTTTGGACCCAGGGCAAATCCTGGCTCCACCCCTGTACTACTTAATCTATGATTTTCCAATCTTCATCCTATGAATGCATTATCTTACTGGAAGAGAAATTGGGCCTAATAAATTAAAACAACAAATTGTACAACATGACTGCTGAAGTTAAGATTTGTTTTAGTGTTTACTGCTTTGAAACAGTATTGCCCGCTATATTCCAGAAAGAGAGAAAGGGAACCGAATGTTAATATATATGTAATTTAAGTAAATATATTAACTTTCCAATGTCGTGTATATTAGTATTGTATAAATGTTATGTATTATGCGCCTAGTGCACATTCTTTAGTGGCCTTGGCGAGGGTCTTACAACAGAATCTGCATCTTACGTAAATGAGCCATATAGGCCACGGACTGTTGCGGGTTGTTGGACGCACACTCTATGACTAGGACCCAGCTTGACTACTGAAAAGACCTCCTGGTCCGACCTAGCCCAGGCTTAGTTAGATGGTTAGATTGAGGCTAGACCTACGAACGACCATACTACTCAGGCCAATCGTCTGAAAATGGACTTGATCGTCCCTCACCCGCCTATAGCAGCAGCACAACAGAAAATTAAGCTCTATGAGCCTGCTCGCCTTGCTAAATTGACATTTACACAGTGTAGTGTGATGTTTTTTGGTAGACGGCGGCATAATTATAGATGACGTCACCATATACAAGCCACGCCCCCTGGGCTGAACCCGTTGTATTTAGCAACTACCGTAAAGTAGAGTGAAATGCCCGCCCGTAGTAGTTGCCAGGTTCTCGGAAATTTTCATTTCAAATTGAGCGAAAATGGTGTATAGCTGCCATTTAATATCACAATTGATAATTATAATCTTTTTTGTTTTTAAATCACCATCAGCATCAATAAAATGTACAATACTTGGAAAATAATTATTATTTTCACTATAAAAAACACTCTAAATTACATCTGAAAGTCGATAGTCACATACTATAATTGTGTTTAAAAGTATACATTATACCATTAAACTTTATATTATTAATTCATTATTCTTTTGAACCTTTTTTATATAAAGGCAAAACACGTGCAATTTTTAAAACGTTTAGAAAATGAGACTTTTCAAATGAAAGATTAAAAACATAACATAATGATATTGTGATATGGCCCCGGGGTCCCGCTATAAATAATAGTGCTTTTATCTAAATTAGGAATCTTATTAACTTCATCTACAGAGATTGATTTTAGCAATTAGTCAATTCTCTTAATAATATTATATTCTCTATATTTTCAAACCTTAGTTTACCTACCAAGGCATAGGATGGAAGATCAGACCAACTAGGCTTAGCCCAACTAGTTTTCAATTAAATAAATTATACACACAGTTTTTGGTTCGCCGTCGTAATAATTTATGTACGAAAGTGAGTTCTTCAGGTCTATCGGTTCATCGATCCATGGAAGAGAGACTACATATCTAACTAATCAATGTTGCTGGAATATAACATATTGCCTGTCTTTGATTTTTTCCTCAGATTATGATAGGCCTAAAGAATGAGATAAAATTACCTGACCTTTTTCAAGAGGGGGAAAACTTAGAATTTCGAAGAACTTAAAGGTCATTAAAAGACTCCTCGGAAGTCGGGAAAGCTCATTTCCGGCCATCTAGGAATCAACATTTTCCCGGA